GGTCCGGTCCCGTGCTGAGGCCCAAGAGCTGGGAGACCTGCAGAGTCCAGGCCCAGCCGCTGCGGCCACCTGGGGAGTGAGCCAGCAGCCAGAAGGGAGGGGTGTGTGTGTGTCCCTCTCTGTAACTCTGCCTTTCAAACAAAAAATAAACCTTAAAAAGAGAAAGAACCAGGGGGATGGGGGGCTCGGAGCACAGAGGTCAGAGGTCAGCTGGCTCCACCCTGAGGCCGCGTGCGAGGACCGCACCTGCCACGCAAAAACCGGAAAGGATCAACCTGAGAAGCAGGAGCAGCTTGAGCGCCTACAGCCGGCACCCAGCACCCAGCACCCGGCACCCGGCACCCAGCACCCCCGGGTGGTACCCGGCCTCCAGAAGGACGCTCGGCGGGCGGCGACGCCCCTCACAGCACGCGCCAGCAGAGGCGAGGCCGTGGACACAGGCGGGAGGATGGGGGCGACAGCTCGCGGCACGGCGTTCTGGGGAGGGGGGAGCCCGGATCCGGTGGGGGGATGGCCGCGGCTTGGAGTCTGCACGGCCACCGTGCACCTGGAAGGAGCCCTCCCAACGGTCTGGGAATCCTGTCAGCACAGCAAGACCCCGAGACCAGGGACGCGGTCCAGCCGTCCGGACGCTGGACACGGGTCTTCCCCGGCTCCTCGAGCCGACGCCCAGCGCAGTCTGTCGTGGTCCAGGGGTCCCAGGGCCCCTGAAGCCACCGCGCCATCTGCCTGTCAGGAGGCGCTAACAGGAGCCAGAGAAAGAACCAGCCAGGGCTTCCACAGGCCCGGCTGGCGAGGGACGAGCGCACGGGCTCCGGAGTGGCCGTGGTTCCAGCTGCCACTTCAGCCGCTCACACCAGGGCTCGGCCCGCGTGGCGGTGAGGCAGGATTTCTGAGGGGCCAAGGCTGCTGCAGCCTCGCCCGGGTAACGACCCAGACGCCCGGACGCGGTGGGGCTGCAGCGCCCGGCCTGGGCGGCCTCCAGACACGCCCCTGCAGGGAGACGCCTCCCCGCCCCCACACGCCCCTGCATAAGATGCATCCTCACCCCACACGCCCCTGCAGGGAGACGGCTCCCCGCCCCCACACACCCCTGCAGGGAGATGCCTCCCCGCCCCACACGCCCCTGCAGGGAGACAGCTCCCCGCCCCCACACGCCCCTGCAGGGAGACGGCTCCCCGCCCCCACACGCCCCTGCAGGGAGATGCATCCCGCCCCCACACGCCCCTGCATAAGATGCATCCTGCCCCCACACGCCCCTGCACAAGACGCATCCCCGCCCCCACACGCCCCTGCACAAGACGCATCCCCGCCCCCACACGCCCCTGCACAAGACGCATCCCCGCCCCCACACACCCCCGCAGGGAGACGCCTCCCCGCCCCCACGCCCCTGCACAAGACGCATCCCCACCGTGCCGCAGCAGGAGAGCCCGCGGCCCCGTCTACACCGCCAGTAGTTCCGCTCACAAGCTGCCGCTGTGCTGGCCGGGGCCCCAGCCTCGCAGGCATTCGCCCAGGCCAGGGGTCTCCCCCCGCCGACCTAGAACGCTCCCGCCTTGCCCTCCTCCTAGTCTCTGCTCAGACGCCCATTTCTCGCCAAGGCCCCCGTGAACAGTCCACTGGGCACGCACCGTTTTCTGAACACAGACCTGGACCCGATTGGGATGAGCCAGACCTACCCGCCTGTGTGCCGACAGGCTGTGCCGAGGCCGCCCTCGGCGTCTGACACTGGTGGGGCCCAGGCGTGGACACCCGCTATGGACGGGCTGGCCGTGGGTGTGTCCTGGGTGTCCCCTCTCCTCCGCCCCCGCTGTTGGGGGCACGCCAAGGCCTCCCCTCCCCCTGCACACGCTACCCCGTCCCACGCTCCACCTGCAGGGCCACCACCGGACTCGCTGGCAGCTGCACGCTCAGAGGCAGCAGTCGGCAAACCCAACCCAGCCCCTCGTGGAATGCCCTGAGACCACCAGCCACTTCCCCACCCTGAGCCCAGGGTCCCCCCCAAGTGCCCATGTCCACCTCCCCGCCACCCCGCCCTCCTCACGACACGGCCCCCCACCTGTGGTCAAACTGCTCTCAGCAGCCAACTCACTCGAGTGACCCCCGGAGGGTCCCAGCTGTCGGGACCCAAGGCCCGCCCTCTGCCATCACTGCAGTCCCCGCGCTCGGCTGGTCTGGGTCCCGCCCTCCTGCCCGGCGCCGCTCCCCGGGGGCTCTGTGCCTGCGCTGCCGTGACGTCGCGGGTGTGCGGCAGCAGCCACGCGGCAGGACCAGGCAGTCCCGGCTGCTCCGCCTCCGTGCAGCTGCCTGCTGGGGCCCAAGCGCTCGGCCTGCGCCCGGCTCAGCCCGGCTGTCACGGCCATCGGGGAGCAGATCAGCAGGGGCGCTTGCCCTCGGCCACTCCTTCAACTAAGACACACATTTCTCAAAGCAGGAAGCAAGAGGGGGACTGGCCTGCAGCACCGAGTCCTTGTGCGGCTCGTTCACCTTCCCGGCCAGGCAGCAGTGGCACACGGCGTTGTGGATGATCGGCTTGTTGGACTTGCTGCTGGGCTCCTTGAACAGCCTGGGACCTGAGGACACAGCGGGCTGGCACTCGCCGCGCTCCAGGCGCGCGCGCACACACAGACAGACAGACAGAAACCCGCGGCGTTTCACAGACCCGAGCAACGAGGGCGATCACGGGTACAAACGAGTTTTTGAAAACGAGAAGAGCCGCTTCCCATCTACCCCAAAAAATCCAAACGAAACTTAGGAAACCAAACACAAGGTGAGTGACTGACGCTGCACCCCGTCCTGCCCGGCGGCCGCGGCGCACAGTGGCCACTCTGGGGCGGGGGCGTGGCCGCTCTGGGGCGGGGGCGTGGCCACTCTGGGGCGGGGGCGTGGCCGCTCTGGGGCAGGGGCGTGGCCGCTCTGGGGCGGGGGGCGTGGCTGGCAGCGAAGACGGCTGCGGCCCACGCCGGGGCTCCCGGCTCCCGCTGCTGACCCCGGCTTCCTAGCGAGGCGGCCTGAGCGGCTGGGCCCTGCCGTGCACCTGGGAGACCTGCACTGAGCGCCCGGCCCCCGGCTACTGCAGGCCCCTGGGGAGCAGGCCGGGACGTGTCCCGCCTCTGTACAAACTGCAGCCATAACCGAGCCCCGGGGATGCTCTCCAGGGCCCAACAGCCCAAGCGTCAGAACTCCCCGCACCCTGGGCACCTGCGCCCATGGCAGGGAAGGGGAGGCGGGGCTTCCTCAGCCACAGGACACCACCCTCCCCAGCCGCCGTCCACCGCGCTCAGCGGCACGGACGAGACCTTGTATCTCATCAAAGTGAGGAACAGCAGTACAGGCCGCCCTGGGGGGCACGCGCCCTCACCTGTGTACTCCGCCACCGAGGCCAGGGAGGACGCCGCCGAAGCCGTCTCCCAGTCCCGGTCGGTGCTCCTGCTCGGGTTGCGGCTCAGGATGGGCAGGGCTTCCATCGACTCCACCCTGCGGCAGAACAGGGCGGAGGTGAGCAGGGCCTGGCCGCGGGCCGCACTCACCCAGCTGCTTCCCCCCGCCCACAGCAGGTGGGCAGCACCAGGGCAGGGCTTTCCGGAACGGCCTGGCGGGGCGTGTGTGTGTGTACACCTGTGTGTCTGTGTGTGTGTGTACCTGTGTGTGTGTGTGTGTACACCTGTGTGTCTGTGTGTGTGTGTGTACCTGTGTGTCTGTGTGTGTGTGTACCTGTGTGTCTATGTGTGTGTATACACCTGTGTGTGTGTGTGTACACCTGTGTGTCTGTGTACACCTGTGTCTATGTGTGTGTGTACACCTGTGTCTGTGTATACACCTGTGTCTATGTGTGTGTGTACACCTGTGTGTGTGTACATGTGTCTATGTGTGTGTACACACCTGTGTCTGTGTATACACCTGTGTGTGTGTACACCTGTGTCTGTGTGTGTGTACACCTGTGTGTCTATGTGTGTGTGTACACCTGTGTGTCTATGTGTGTGTGTACACCTGTGTGTCTGTGTGTGTGTGTACACCTGTGTGTGTGTGTACACCTGTGTCTATGTGTGTGTGTACACCTGTGTCTATGTGTGTGTGTACACCTGTGTGTCTATGTGTGTGTACACCTGTGTGTGTGTACATGTGTGTCTATGTGTGTGTACACACCTGTGTCTGTGTATACACCTGTGTGTCTGTGTGTGTGTGTACCTGTGTCTATGTGTGTGTACACCTGTGTCTATGTGTGTGTACACCTGTGTCTGTGTGTGTACACCTGTGTCTGTGTGTACGCCTGCTCTGGGTAATACAAGAAGCCAGCAAGTGTTGCGTGCACACAGCAGTGCGGGCAGGGGCAGGCACCCAGAGGGCCGTGGTGCCGCTGGCTTCGGGCTGCCTGGCCGCACCTGAGTAGGGGTGAGGTCCCTGGGTGCAAGGGCCCCGGCTGCACCCCTGGGCGGTTCCTGCAGCTAAGTCCCCACCAGGCACAGCAGATGCCAGGGCCAGGAGGCTGGGCACCGCGGTCAGGGCTCAGGCCCAGCCAGGGACCTGAATGCTGGGCCAAGACTCCAAGAGGGCCCGAGCCCCTCAGAGGCACCGCCGCGTGGCCCCGGAGACACAAGAGGCAGGGAACCAGCCCACGGTGGCCTCAGGGGCAGGCACGCGTGGAGGGACACACGGCGGGCAGAGGAGCAGGGGGCTCGGCAGCAGCTCCAAACGTGGACAAAGGGGCCATGGCGGCCACCGCGCTCCCTGCATCTCCGTGGAAACGACTTTCCAATCGCAAGGGATTGTGGGTGCACACCCACCGACCTGGAAAAGACCCCTCCCTGTGGGCTGCACCAGCCAGAAGCACAAACGTCCGTCTGACTATGGGAGGCCCACTCTGAGGGGCAGTCCACACACAGACAGAGGCACCGGCTCCACCCAGCGCTCGGCCCAGCCTGGATGCTGACCTGGGGAGACACAGCCGCCAGGGTGGTACTGGGAACGTGCGGAGGGCACAGATCAGCCGTGTCCAACCCGCCCTCGGAGACACACTCGTGGGACGAGCGACAAAGCAGACAACTGGCCACCTAGCAGGGCTCGGGACTCCTGACGGCATCCGCCACTCCACGAACCTAAGACGGCGTCAAGGCGACGCGACAGAAGCACCTGCCACACAGCCCCTTACCGCTGAGAGGGAGTGCCCCCTGAGTGGACGCTCTCGGGCTCCGTGGTCGCCGCGGACGCCAAGGACAGGCTGGAGCCAGACTGAGTCCGGCTCAAGTTGTCGGCTGCCAGAGACGGAGAGAGAGAGGCGGCTGTGAGAGGCTGGGCCACGTCCCCCAGCCCGCACGGGAGAGCCGGCGGGGCAGCCGCCCCCACCCTGCCCTGGGGAGACCACCCCATCTCAAAACACCAGAGCTGGCCTCAACCCTCTCATCTGTAAAATGGGGACAACCGCGGCCTCCGCCCCCTCCCAGAGCTGGAGCCCGACGGTGAGCCGCGCCCCGCAGCTGCTCACGGGTGGAGGAGCACTTGGTCCCCGAGTCACTGCACGACTCCTCCCGGTGGACGGACTTCGGCCGTGGCTTTTTTGGCTTTGACTTCGGCTTGGCCAGCCCCTGCTCCTCCAGGATCTGCTGCTGCTTCCTGCGCAGGTACTCCTGCTTGATGAGCTCCCGCCGTGCCTTCTCCTCCTCCTTCCGCACCCGGTCCTCCTCCGCTTTGCGCCTGAGGAGACGCGGGTCACGGCCCAGGCCCGCGCGGCCCTGCACCTGCCGCTCCCTGGGCCTGCTCGGTGGCCCTGCGACTGCGCCAGCCGCTGCCAGGAGGGGCCACGGGGCTACAGGGCAGGCGCCGAGCCAGCTCTGGGTTAACAGCTCGCCGGGGAGCACCGCGACCAGGCTCCTCGCTGCCCGGGCAGCAGAGCGGAGGCCTCGCTATCACAACGGGGAGAGAGGGGGCGTTGGCGGGCGGGCCGCCGCAGCACTGCAACACGAGCCCCTCAGAGACATGGCCCCGGGGAGCACCGCGCTGGCCCGGGAGGGACAGGCTGCCGGGGAGCACCGCGCTGGCCCGCCAGCCCCGCGCCCGCGCCCGCGCCGGGGGCAGCCTACCGGGCCTCGTCTCTCTTGAGCTCCACCTCGGCCTCCAGCTGCTGCTTGCGCGCCCGGGCCTCCTCGGCCTTGCGCTGCTGCTTCAGGAGGAAGGCCGCCCGCCTCTTGGCCAGCTCGTCCTCCGCCTTCTGTTCATCCTGCGAGCAGACACCGCGGGCAGCCGGCGGCCTCGGCGCACAGCCCGCCCCACCCGCCGCTTCTCGGCTCCAACGCGGGCACAGCACAACTCCAAGCCCTCTGAAGCGGAACTGGAGGAGCCATTGGGCCGCTGGCCAGGCCCCGCGGTGGGGCAGCCCCTGCGGCTCCCCCGGGCGTCTGCTCATATGTTTCTAAGACAGGGGCGAGCACGCAAGCTGGACGCTGACGTGTTTCCAAACACCGAACAGGGCCAGCGCGGCCGGCCAGTGTCTGTCACCGCGCCCGTCCCGGCAGGAGGAGAGGCCTCGACAGAAGGCACCGGAAAGGACATGGGCGGAGGGAGACGAACCTGCCGTGGATGGCCCGCGCCTGCCCAGGCCAGGCCCCGCCACCTGCCTACAGGCGACAGTGACGTCCACGGCGGGTGAGTGGCCCCAAGAGAAAAACGCCTGTGATGGGCGACACGACGTGGCACGCAAACCTCAGGGACCCCCGAGGGGCACTCGCCTACCTTGAAGAAGAAGCCGACCCCGGGCTTCTGGTCGGCGTCCCCCGGGAGCTCCGGGCCACGGTCGTGGCCGCCCCCCTCTCCGTCCTCTCCGGGGGCCCTCAGGTCTGCGAGGTCCACCTCGATGAGGCTGGCCTTGCTCCTCAGGGGCTCCTCCGCGGGCGCGGCCACCTTCCCTGAGCCGTCCTGGGGGCTGGGCCCCGCCTCGCGCACGCCCGCGCCCAGGCCGTCCTGCAGGCCCATCTGCTCCGCCAGGATGTTGGGGTCTGGGGCTGCGGGCACGGCCAGCGCGCGCTGCTTGCTCTCGTGGTAGAGCCTGTAGCCGTCACACGGGCTCTCCTCGTGCGGCTCGCCCCCGGGCTCCGCGGCAGCGTCCGGGTCGGAGGGCGTCCGTGCGTGGCTGCTCGGGGGCAGGGCGCGCAGGTGCGGCAGGGTCTCGGCGCTGGGGGTCGGGGTCTTACTCCGGGAGGAGCCCTGCGGCCGGTCCTTCGGCACCTTCAGCTCGGCGGGCCTCCCTGCCCGCGAACTCCGACCCTGGCCGAGGCGCGGCGGTTTGCGGTGACCGGCCGTCCCGGGAGGAGACAGCGGCTCGCCGAGGGGGACGGGGGCCCTGGCCCTCTGGTCCTGGGCACTGTGCCTTGGGGCGGGCGCGGGCGCGGGCGCGGCCGGGGACTGGAGCAGCAGCTGCTCCTGCTGCTGGGAGATCCTCAGGATGGCCTGCTGCAGCGTGCTGATGCTCGCGTTCAGCTTCTCGATGGACAGCTCGCACTCCGCGTCGGCCGCCTCGCCCAGGCCGTCCTCCAGGAGCGCGGCCGACAGCGCCTTCGTCTTCTCGGCGTCGTGCAGCGCGGCAGGGCCCCTGGCTCTGTGCTGCACCAGGGCCAGGCCCGCCACGTCCAGGGCCGCGGACTCGCCCAGGAGAGCCTCCCTCTGCTCTTCCGCGCCGGGCACGCCGGCGTCCAGGTCCTCCCCGCCGTGCTGGGAGGGCTCCGGCCTGGGCAGCTGGGGGGCGCCCTCGGCCTTGCCCTTCCGCACCACGTGCAGGAAGGCGGCCTTGCCCAGCCGCAGGCGCTGCCTCGCCGACGAGGCCTCCACCCGCTTCTTCTGGGCCTCGATGGCCCTGCGCTTCTCCTCCAGCTGCATGCGCAGCTGCGCCAGCTCCGAGGCCAGCAGGCTGCCGGCGTCTCTGCCGCGCCGGCCGGGGCTCTGCTCCCGCTTCTGCCTCCAGGTCGTCAGCGGGGCCGGGCAGCTCTCCGACCCGTCCGGCGTGGTCTTCTGGGAGCTGCTGGTGCTGGACTTGGTCTCGCAGCTGTTGAGCCTCTGCAGCTTGCGCTCGGCGAAGCTGGTCATCGTGACGCCGCCGCTGGCCGCGGACACGCTGCTGAGCCGCGAGGCCGTGCTCAGACACGGGCTGGAGCGGCCGCTGGCGTCATCCTTGTCCTCGTGCTCCTTCAGCTGCATGTCCTCCTGCAGCTTGGCCGACTCCTCCTCGCCGTCGTACCGCGCCACGAGCACCGGCGACTCCTCGCCCATGAGCACGTGCTCCACTTCCTCCACGTCCAGGCCGTCGGAGTCGGACCCCTGCCCCAGGAAAGCCCACGGCTCGGAATCCCGGGGGCTGGGGCTCCTGGAAGCAATGTACATCCTGCCCCCGGCGCCCACATGAAGGAAGAAGCCGTCGGCAGACTGGCCCTGCGGCGACAGGTCAAGTCCGCCGACAGCCGGGGGCCCGCCACAAGCCTCTCCTGCAGCACCCGGCGGCGGCGGCCCGGCCTCTGCGGGCGCGACGCTCGTGGGAGACTCGGGACACGGGATCGGGGTGAAGGTCCTGTTCAGGTCGTGGGCACCATGGCCGCCGGCCAGCCTCCTTCGCCCCAGAGGCTGGTGGCCGTCGCTGGGCCTCTTGGCCGTGCTGCTCCTCGGCCGCCCCTCCCCCAGCTCGTCCTCCTTGCTGACGACCTGCTTCTCCTTCGCCGGCTTGAGCACCGCCGGCATCAAGGGCTCCAAGAAAAAGCTGTCGGGCTTACTGTCCAGGCCGTCTGCCTGCCACTGGGGAGGCCGGGCAGTGGCCAGCGGGCCCGGGGCCCGGGGTGAGGCCCTGGGGCCTGCGGGGTCCTCACGGCGGGCAGCCACGTCGGACCCGATGATGGCCGCAAGCTCCTCCTCCTCGTCCTCAATACTGACGTTGGTCAAGAGGCTCCTGCCGCTGGTCTCGGCAGCCGCGGGCTGAGGCCGGTGCTGGGGGGTCAGATGAACGACGCTGGAGGCCAGACTGTCTTTGCTGATGGAGCGGGCCAGGCTGATGCTGTCGCCGGAGCCGGGGTCCACGTCACAACTGGCAGCATGATGGACAGCAGGTGTTGGCTGGGACACGGGCCTGGAACACGAGGGGACAGCATGTGCACACGACTCAGCACGGGCTGAGTGACACGGGCACCAGCCAGTGAGAGCGGGACAGGCATCGCACATGCCGGAGCTTCACCCCCACCTCGGGGCAGGGACGACGGACGCACTTTGAATTCTCCAGGGCCTGCACCTTACAGAGTTCTGGGGACCCCGGAGAAGACCCGCTCATGTCAGCAATCTGTCTGCCATAGTAAAGCTCAGACCCCAGTGACAGCTGTGGGCTGGCACTGCGGCACGACCGTTTAGGCCACTGCTTGGGACGCCTGCACGGGACTGCCTGCAGGTGTCGGTCCTGCCTCTGCTTCCTGCCCAGTGTCCTGCGGACGCACGCCCTGCGAGAAAGCAGGAGACGCTCAAGTACTGCGGCCCCTGCCTCCCATGTGGGAGACCCGGATGCAGCGTCCAGCTCCTGACTCAGGCCTGGTCCAGCCCCGGCTGTCGGAGGCACTCGGGTGAACGAGTGGATGGAGGGTCTCCATCTCTCTCTGTCGCTCTGCCTTTCAGGCAAAAAAAAAAAAAAAAAAGATTCCAAAGCCTCTTTAAAAATTACAGTGCTAAGTTCATGGCATGAGAAATATAGCTTCGGAAACAAGACGGCCTGCGGCCCACGTCGCCAGGGCTGGCACCAGGAGGCCCTGGTGCCTGGCAGCACACGGCAGGAGCCTCTGGACATCCCACCCCGCTGGCGAGACCACGCGTGGGACACGGCAGCGAAGCTCCCAGCACGGCTGAAGACAACTCTGGCCTCAAAGCTGCCCTGGGGTCTCCCTGGGCCCCGGCGTCCCCGGCGGCGACAGACCACGACCCACCTGGTCTTCCTTTCCGGCCACGCCGTCGCCGCGCCTCGTGGCTGACCATCCACGCGGGTGAGGGAGTTGGAGCGATGCCGCTGACCTGCAGTTGGCGGGAGCAGGGAGAGGGCTCAGGCTCAGCGGCTGCTCTCGCACCTCCTCCGACAACCACTTTCCAGGACCCGATCCGGGACGGCGCCAGCGACGCGAGGGCAGCGGGGCAGCACCCAGGGCGCCGCGGCGGGCTCACGTGTGAGCACGGCGGGCAGATGGCCGTGGACTACGCCACGTGAGCGCAGTGAGCATCGGTCGCCGAGTGCTCGCCCAGACGCCACGGCGCCCTGCGGGCACACACGTGCCATCAGGCCGCAAGGACCTCCCCTCTTTGAGACAGACTCTAGGCCACATCACAGACGCGACGTGACTCTGCTGCGGCCTCTGAGCCACGCGAATACGGCCGAGGCCGGCGAGCGGAGACGGACAGAGGGAGGCAGCGGAAGCAGCTCCTCACCAGAGGGGTCCTCGCCCTGCACCGGCTTTTGCTGTTTCTGTCTCAGTGGCAGCAAAGGATGGGACGGGCTGAAGGCCGAGGCTCCTCTCCCGCTAGATGGAAACAGGGCAGAGAAGTGTCACCAGGTTATCAGACTCCCAGAGCCCTCCGCACGCTCACGACGCCGCGCGGGACAGATTCTCGGGGAAACTGCTGTGAAGCAGGGCCGGGGAGACCCCGCCAACAGAGCCGTGCGGGCTTCCGGCCCCAGGCTGCACCGCCGCTCGGCTCCGACAGCCAGCGCTGAGCGCGTAGCTGAGATCACCTTTTTTTTTTTTTTTTTTTTTTTTGACAGGCAGAGTGGACAGTGAGAGAGAGAGACAGAGAGAAAGGTCTTCCTTTGCCGTTGGTTCACCCTCCAATGGCCACCGCAGCCGGCGCGCTGCGGCCGGCGCACCGTGCTGATGCGATGGCAGGAGCCAGGTGCTTCTCCTGGTCTCCCATGGGGTGCAGGGCCAAGCACCTGGGCCATCCTCCACTGCACTCCCTGGCCACAGCAGAGGGCTGGCCTGGAAGAGGGGCAACCGGGACAGAATCCGGCGCCCCAACCGGGACTAGAACCCGGTGTGCCGGCGCCGCTAGGCGGAGGATTAGCCTAGTGAGCCGCGGCGCCGGCCCTGAGATCACCTCTTGAGAGGAGAAAGAGTAAAGAGAGAAAGTGACCACTTGAAAAGCACAATTTTCAAACACACACACAGCTTCCTGTGGACACGGCCGTGTCACTGCCACGTGGGAGACCAGGACGCAGCGGGGCCTCTGCGGGTCTTGGAGAGCGACCCAGCAGACGCGAGCTCTAACTAGGCTGTCTGTTGCACTAATGGTTAAAATACCCACAAAGCTGAAGACATGGAGGAGTGGCCAGACCGGGAACCCCACTTGCTGCCAGGCACAAAAATGCTCCCTCGTGGAGGACGCGACGGCAGCACCCACAGTGCACTGACGTCATCGCCCCGCCTACTTCCTGCACTGAGGTTCAGGAAAAGGGGGTGCATCACAGAGCAGGGCACAGAGCAGGGCACAGCACGGAGCAGGGCGCGGCCACGGAGCAGGGCACAGCACGGAGCAGGGCACGGCACGGAGCAGGGCACAGCACGGAGCAGGGCACAGCACGGAGCAGGGCGCGGGCACGGAGCAGGGCACAGCACGGAGCAGGGCGCGGGCACGGAGCAGGGCACAGCACGGAGCAGGGCACAGCACGGAGCAGGGCACGGCACGGAGCAGGGCACAGCATGGAGCAGGGCACAGCACGGAGCAGGGCACAGCACGGAGCAGGGCACAGCACGGAGCAGGGCGCGGGCACGGAGCAGGGCACGGCACGGAGCAGGGCACGGCACGGAGCAGGGCACAGCACGGAGCAGGGCACAGCACGGAGCAGGGCACAGCACGGAGCAGGGCGCGGGCACGGAGCAGGGCACGGCACGGAGCAGGGCACAGCACGGAGCAGGGCACAGCACGGAGCAGGGCACAGCACGGAGCAGGGCGCGGGCACGGAGCAGGGCACGGCACGGAGCAGGGCACAGCACGGAGCAGGGCGCGGGCACGGAGCAGGGCACAGCACGGAGCAGGGCACGGCACGGAGCAGGGCACGGCACGGAGCAGGGCACAGCACGGAGCAGGGCAGAGCACGGAGCAGGGCAGAGCACAGAGCAGGGCACAGCACGGAGCAGGGCACGGCACGGAGCAGGGCAGAGCACAGAGCAGGGCACAGCACGGAGCAGGGCACAGCACGGAGCAGGGCACGGCACGGAGCAGGGCACGGCACGGAGCAGGGCACAGCACGGAGCAGGGCGCGGGCACGGAGCAGGGCACAGCACGGAGCAGGGCACAGCACGGAGCAGGGCACAGCACGGAGCAGGGCACAGCACGGAGCAGGGCGCGGGCACGGAGCAGGGCACGGCACGGAGCAGGGCAGAGCACGGAGCAGGGCACAGCACGGAGCAGGGCACAGCACGGAGCAGGGCACAGCACGGAGCAGGGCACGGCACGGAGCAGGGCACGGCACGGAGCAGGGCACAGCACGGAGCAGGGCGCGGGCACGGAGCAGGGCACAGCACGGAGCAGGGCACAGCACGGAGCAGGGCACAGCACGGAGCAGGGCACAGCACGGAGCAGGGCACAGCACGGAGCAGGGCGCGGGCACGGAGCAGGGCACAGCACGGAGCAGGGCACGGCACGGAGCAGGGCACGGCACGGAGCAGGGCACGGCACGGAGCAGGGCACGGCACGGAGCAGGGCAGAGCACGGAGCAGGGCAGAGCACAGAGCAGGGCACAGCACGGAGCAGGGCACGGCACGGAGCAGGGCAGAGCACAGAGCAGGGCGCGGGCACGGAGCAGGGCAGAGCACAGAGCAGGGCGCGGGCACGGAGCAGGGCACAGCACGGAGCAGGGCACGGCACGGAGCAGGGCACGGCACGGAGCAGGGCACGGCACGGAGCAGGGCACGGCACGGAGCAGGGCAGAGCACAGAGCAGGGTGCGGGCACGGAGCAGGGCGCGGGCACGGAGCAGGGCACAGCACGGAGCAGGGCACAGCACGGAGCAGGGCGCGGGCACGGAGCAGGGCACAGCACGGAGCAGGGTGCGGGCACGGAGCAGGGCGCGGGCACGGAGCAGGGCGCGGGCACGGAGCAGGGCACAGCACGGAGCACGGCACAGCACGGAGCAGGGCGCGGGCACGGCCCCCACGCGCGCACCACCCCTGCCCCACTCTCCTGCCCCTGGCCTGGGTCCGCTCGCTCCAGCTCTGCCTGTGCTCTGGGCCCCGAGCACCTGGGCGCACACCCAGCGCTCCCTCCCCCCGCCCCAGCAGCAGGGCTGCAGCACGCGCAGGCGTGAGGACCAGGGTCTCTGGACAACTTCGCCTCTCCTCGCACCCAGCCTCTCAGTGAGGTCGCCAGTGTCACGGCTGAAAACCCAGCTAACGGCCCCACTCCTCGTGGAGCCATCCTCCTCGTGGACCACTTAAAACCACGTTGCAGGGGCCGGCGCCGGGGCACAGCGGGTTAAATGGCCACTTGCGACACAGGCATCCCTTGTCAACACGTCAGGAGCCCCAGCTGCCCCAATTCCAATCTAGCTGCCGTCTAACGCCCCTGGGAAAGCAGTGCAAGATGGCCCAAGCCCTCTGGCCCCAGCGCCCACGCGGGAGACCCAGGTGGAGTTCCGGGATCCTGGCTGTGGCCTGGCCCAGCCCGTCACCGTGGCCATTTGGAGAATGAACCAGTGGATAGAAGATCTCTGTCTCTCCCTCCCTTTGCCACTCTGCCTTTCAAATAAATCAACCTGTGCGCTGGCATCCCCTGTAGGCGCTGGTTCCAGTCCCGGCTGCTCCACTTCTGGTCCAGCTCCCTGCTATGGTCTGGAAAGGCAGTGGAGGACGTCCCAGTGCCTGGGCCCTGCACTCACAGGGGAGACCCGGATGGAGCTCCTGGCTCCTGGCTTCAGCTTGGTCCAGCCCTGACCATTGTAGCCATCTGGGGAGTGAACCAGCGGATGCAAGATCTCTGTCTCTCCCTCTCTCTCTGTAATTTTAACTTTCAAGTAAATAAATCTTTAAAAAAATTTTTTTTCCACTAGAAACTCGCGCCCAGCAAGTGAGCGCAGTGCTGCGTGCAGGCCGGGACCGCAGGCCCCGCTCTCGAGGTCGGCACCAGACCAGGACTCCTGATGGAAAACGCTTCCTAAACAGCGCTGCCACTCGGTCACAAATCGGACCCTGACCACCGTGCACGGACGCTAACGAGGCAAAGCGTGACGATTCCCCCCACTCAACAGCGCTCTGTCCGTTCTACCACGTCATAAAGCCTCTGTCCATTCTACCAGACGTCACAGGGCCTCTGTCCATTCTACCAGACGTCACAGGGCCTCTGTCCATTCTACCAGACGTCACAGGGCCTCTGTCCATTCTACCAGACGTCACAGGGCCTCTGTCCATTCTACCACGTCACAGGGCCTCTGTCCATTCTACCAGACGTCACAGGGCCTCTGTCCATTCTACCACGTCACAGGGCCTCTGTCCATTCTACCAGACGTCACAGGGCCTCTGTCCATTCTACCAGACGTCACAGGGCCTCTGTCCATGCTACCAGACGTCACAGGGCCTCTGTCCATGCTACCAGACGTCACAGGGCCTCTGTCCATTCTACCAGACGTCACAGGGCCTCTGTCCATTCTACCAGACGTCACAGGGCCTCTGTCCATGCTACCAGACGTCACAGGGCCTCTGTCCATGCTACCAGACGTCACAGGGCCTCTGTCCATGCTACCAGACGTCACAGGGCCTCTGTCCATTCTACCACGTCACAGGGCCTCTGTCCATTCTACCACGTCACAGGGCCTCTGTCCATTCTACCAGACGTCACAGGGCCTCTGTCCATGCTACCAGACGTCACAGGGCCTCTGTCCATGCTACCAGACGTCACAGGGCCTCTGTCCATGCTACCAGACGTCACAGGGCCTCTGTCCATGCTACCAGACGTCACAGGGCCTCTGTCCATGCTACCAGACGTCACAGGGCCTCTGTCCATGCTACCAGACGTCACAGGGCCACTGTCCATGCTACCAGACGTCACAGGGCCTCTGTCCATGCTACCAGACGTCACAGGGCCTCTGTCCATTCTACCACGTCACAGGGCCTCTGTCCATGCTACCAGACGTCACAGGGCCTCTGTCCATTCCACCAGACGTCACAGGGCCTCTGTCCATTCTACCACGTCACAGGGCCTCTGTCCATTCTACCAGACGTCACAGGGCCTCTGTCCGTGCTACCAGACGTCACAGGGCCTCTGTCCATGCTACCAGACGTCACAGGGCCTCTGTCCGTGCTACCACGTCACAGGGCCTCTGTCCATGCTACCAGACGTCACAGGGCCTCTGTCCATTCTACCAGACGTCACAGGGCCTCTGTCCATTCTACCAGACGTCACAGGGCCTCTGTCCATTCTACCACATCATAGGGCCTCTGTCCATTCTACCACGTCACAGGGCCTCTGTCCATGCTACCAGACGTCACAGGGCCTCTGTCCATGCTACCAGACGTCACAGGGCCTCTGTCCATTCTACCACGTCACAGGGCCTCTGTCCATTCTACCAGACGTCACAGGGCCTCTGTCCGTTCTACCACGTCACAGGGCCTCTGTCCATTCTACCACGTCACAGGGCCTCTGTCCATTCTACCACGTCACAGGGCCTCTGTCCGTGCTACCAGACGTCACAGGGCCTCTGTCCGTGCTACCAGACGTCACAGGGCCTCTGTCCATGCTACCAGACGTCACAGGGCCTCTGTCCATTCTACCACGTCACAGGGCCTCTGTCCGTTCTACCAGACGTCACAGGGCCTCTGTCCATTCTACCACGTCACAGGGCCTCTGTCCATTCTACCAGACGTCACAGGGCCTCTGTCCATGCTACCAGACGTCACAGGGCCTCTGTCCGTGCTACCACGTCACAGGGCCTCTGTCCGTGCTACCAGGCCACGTCACAGAGCAAACTTAACCCGTTCTCTCAGCTTTTCTAATCTTTAGCTCACTTTTTTGAATCCTGTAATATATTGTGGAAAAAAGAGAAGAGGAAACACCTCATCCTTGAATACCATCTTTCCCTGGACAAGCTTTATCCGTAAAGGACACCAGAGCCCCGCGCCGGAGCCGCGCCGGGCCGTGCCACCCTGCCCTGGGCGGCCCACTGCACGCTCCCAAGGGCGGCCTCCGCGCTCAGAAGGCAGGAGGCCGAGAACTCGTTGAGAAAGCAGGAGACGGACTCACGGGTACTCGGACTCCTCGGGGTGCAGGTGGCACCTGTGACAGCCTTCCGCTGCCGGGGCGGCAGGCGGCTGCTCGGCCGGGCTGGCCGCGGCGGGGCTGCCCAGGAAGCTGCGCTTGGTTGCGTTGGAGATAGGCACGGGGGGGCGGCTGCTCTTCTGGTGTAGCACCGTCTTTGCTGCAGAAACAGGGATTCACAGGAACGCTCAGTGACCCCCGAGCACGAGGCCAGGAAAACGGCAGCCGGGCCGCAACAGAGGCGCCCAGCGTGCGCCTGGAAGCAGGGCCCCAAACGTGTTCCGTGACACCAGGGTCTACAGGTGAGCCGCAGCAAACACCACACCTGAGAGGCACCGCGCGGGAACTCGGCGGATGGCCGTGACCGTCCCGGACACGCCGCTGCTGCAGCGTCCGCACCGGCAGGCAGCCCCCAACCACATCCCCACACCAGCTCGGTGCCCAGGCCCACAGGGAAGGCCCCCGCCCCATGCCAGCCAGCGGGGCGCCGAGGCAGGGTCAGAAGGGCCTCCTCTGGACACAGCTACTCCAAGGATCTCCGGCTCAGCCGCCCAGCTGCTCCGTCCGTCCGCTTGCCCCCCAAGACCCGAGCTGCGGCAGGTGATGTGTGACCAGCTTGGTGTCGGCTCGGGGTGTGCTCCCCCTGTGCCTGGCCAGGAACAAGGCCCCGTGCTGGGTCCAGCAGCTGGCACGCCGTGAATGCAGGCTGCACGGCGCCCTGCCTTCTGCCCACTGCAGGAAGGACACGCCGACAGGCTGAGGAGCAGCAGCCGAAAGCCAGGATGGGAGCCGAGCCTCAGGCTGTGCTCTCCGGCGGCCAGGGCCCGGGGAGAGGAGCCCCCAGTCCCAGGAAGGCTAGCTCCGACGGCAGGGACCGCAACTGTGAGCCACGTGCAGGACGGGTAGACGGGGGCATCCTGGGACCCTCCAACTCCCGCTCTGAGCCGGCCAGCACCCCTGCCGGCCTGTGCTCGGGGACACAGCTAAGACGCCGACAGCTGAGCTGTAAGAGCTGGGGTCGGACGTGACCATCGAAAGGCGACAGAAGGGCGGAGGGTGTGCACCACACATCTCCCCTGCGCGGAGACACAGCCCACATGCTGGCCTCAGAGACAGACGCAGGACGACAGGGAAGCAAGCGGGCAGAGCGCGGGGCGGGGCTCGCCGGCTGTCACTCACCGCCCTTCGGCTCCTGCGCGTCCCTGGGCTGCACGAAGGCGGGCTTGACGCTCTCGAACCACCAGAAGAGCTCCGCGATGAAGACCATCACGTTGGGCTGTGGAGAGAGGGGGTGAGCGGCGGCGCACAGGGCGGAGCGCGCGCCCAGGGGGCAGCCTCACCTTGAGCACCGCGGGGGCGTACAGCATGTCTTCCAGGGTGAGGTAGCAGCACCTGTTCAGGTACTCATTGGAGAACTCCCGCAGAAGCCGGATGTTATACAGGCTGTCCGCCATCGACGTCACCTCCTTCAAGCATATGTCTAACAGGAGGGAGACGGGCAGGCGCTGCAAAGCCGTCCTCCCGGGGCTGGCGCTGGGGCACGGCGGGCAAAGCAACCGCCTGCGACGCCAGCTTCCCACTCGGACTCCGCTCCACTTCCGATGCGACCCCTTCTAATGCACCTGGGACAGCAGCGGGAGACGGCCCAGTGCCCGGGCCCTGCACCCCGGGGAGACCTGGAGGAAGCTCCTGGCTCCTGGCTCTGGATCAGCGCAGCTCTGGCTGTTGTAGCCAACTGGGGAGTGGACCAGAGGACGGAAGACCTCTCTCTCTGTGCCTCTCCTCTCTCTGTGTAACTCTGACTTTCAAATAAATAATCTTAAAAAAAAAAAAAAAAAGAAGAAGGAAACGCTCAAGACAAATGTGGAGAAATCGTGAGGAGCTGAATTCCAGGGGTCGTGACTACAGCACGAGGGTCAGACCCGGCTTCCGAGCGCACACTGCCGACCGCCTGGCCGCGCCCTGTGCGGCGTCTGCGGGGCTGTCACGAGGTGCCTCTGCACGAGGCCTCCTCCACGCTGGAGGGCGCCGAGGAAGGCTGCCAGCCCCACAGCCGGCTGACCACACAGGCGGCTGTCCCCCCGGGGAGGGCTGGGGGACTCTCGAGGGCACAGCACGGGGCCGTGCACACACCCAGCCGAGGGCCAAGGTCTGCGAAGTGACCCGGCTGGAAGGGAACGAGCTCCTGCGACGACTGAGCCCGAGGAGACCAGGCCAGCTGGACCTCACGGGGACAACCGACAGGCGCTGCGGCCTCTCCTGATGCCCGCCGTGGACAGCGGTGGGCAACGTCTGGCTCACCCCAAAACATCGGGTCTGGACCTGCCAAGATAGCCACAGGCGGAACTCCAAGTTCAGTAAGTCCATAGCAGGCCGATCTGTTGTCCAGCTTTCTTTCTTTATGTTGAAAGGCCAGGAGCCCCGTCCACGTCTCCCACGTGGGTGGCAGGGCCTCCTACCCGGACCGTCACCTGCTGCTCTCCCAGGCACGTCAGCAGGGAGCTGGCTCGGAGGTGGCTCTGAGAGGGGACCGGTGTCCCGAGGGGCAGCTCAGCCGCTGCGCCACGGCGCCCGCCCCACGGCACCCCGTGCGTGTGCCGGGGAGGCATGGGCACTCACCGTCCAGCTTCACCTGCTCCGGGCAGTAGTAGTGGATGACGGCGAGGAGGGCGGCCCCGTCACTGCTGTCCCGCATCAAGTCCTCCACCCACGGGAAGTACGGCGACTGCCTGGCAGACGGGTGCTCTCGCCGGTAGCGGACCTGCGGCGGAAGAGGACCGCGTTTGTGTGAGGCCGCCCCGCCCGTCCGCCTGCCGTGCGCAAGGCCGCGGGGAGCAGGGCGGGCGGCTGCAGCCGTCCAGGAAGCGTCAGGGTGCCTGTCCAGGACACAGGGCTGCTCGGCCAGCCGGCGCCAGCAGTGACTCACAGCTGACGCCAGCGCCAGTCTAGTGCTGAAGCGACACGGGGGAGCAGGCCCAGGCCACCCGAGCCGACACACAGGAACTGCTGAGAAACAAGTTAAACGTTGGCCGAGCCGCCCCGCCACCTCCAGGTGTGGTTGGCACTGAGCTCGGACACTAACGCCGCAGGGCCGGAGGTGGTCAGGACTCGGGCTGGACAGCGTGTCTCCTAACGCAACAGCCAGCCACGCCGGGAACGAGGCTTCGAGAGAAAGCGCACACGAGGTGCTGCCTGAATCACGCGTCTGCCCACGGCTCCTGTCCTGCCGCTCAGGGGAGGCCGACGCTCAGGGGTCCCGCGCCCTCCGTGTGCGTCCACCGGGGCAGGGCGCGTCGGGCGGCCCCAGCGCGCACCCCCGGGGCTGCGGCCCTGCATGTGGGGCAGCTTTGACCATGGCGCTCCCCATCAGCACCCATCCTCAGGGAAGGGAGCAGCGTCACAGCACCACCCGGGCCTCCGCGGGCCCAGGCCCAGCCCACAGGGCCTCCGTCCGCCTCCTAGAGTCCCTCGTTGTTAGCAAGCACACCGTGCAGACTCATCCACGCTGCTAACACAGGCTTCCAATTGAGCAGTACGGCTCCTCTTCCATCAACAAAATCTGCTTCAAGACACACTTAACTTGTTTCTCGGGGCCCACGGCACACGCGACACCACGTAACCCGCCGCATACTGTACCACGCGTGCAAAGTCCACGGGCTCCAGCATGCAGTGCAGCAGGGCATGCGCCAGGCCAGGCTTCCGGAGAGCGGACACGGGGCGGGGCACAGGCATGCAGAGAAGCAAATGGTGTTGTGGTTAAAGACAGATGGCACAGGGTCAGCAGCTCGCAGCGACAGGGTGGGGGCCGCTGGCCACAGGGCCTCGCGGACCCTCGTCCACAGCTCTGGGCTGGAAGGTGCTAAGGTGATGCCTCCGGCCTGCCCGTCTCTGCCAGGCCGCCCCACGGGACCCAGCGAGATGCGGCGCCATCCACCACCTGCGGACGCACACTCTCGCGGTCAGGACGGCTGCACGCGGCCCCCACTCACTGGCTGCTCCAGCAGGCAGGAGCCCACAAGTGGGGGACACGACAAAGAAAGCTCTCCTCGTGTGTCTCAGATCTCCATCGGGAAGCAGAGCACCCACTGTGGAGCACGGGGGCTGTCCCCGGCGGACACCCACTGTGCCCCTCCCCGAGAGGTCTCAGAGGAAGCTTGAGGGTCCAGGCCCCGAGGGACACACACAACCATTCCCAGAGGTCCCCGGGTGTGCAGGGACAGGCCGCCAGGACGGCCACCAGGCAGAGCGCAGCCAGAACTGTGCACGACAGTTCACACTGGGCCCCTGCTGACCCTCACCCTGGAGGGAATGGGGCCTAGGCGGCAGCAGCGGGGACCAAAGGAACTGGGGGCACAGTCACAGGGCCTCCTGGCGCCTACTGGCACCTGCACACCACACAGCCCAGCTCATGGTCACTCCGGCTGCCACGTTCCACTCCACCACCGGGCACGGCAACAGCCCGGAGCAGGCAGCAGCCAGACCACACACCGCTCCTCCTGGTCCAGGAGAAGCAGACACCGGGGTCACCTGAGGAGCAAATGGAGCAGCCGGGCGAGCGCAGTCCCGAGTGACCTGCCCCAGAGCCCGCCAGCCCCCGCAGGCCGTGGCTCAGACCTCAGACGGGACCCTCAGACACACAGACAACACCGCGAGAAGGCTGGGTGTGGGCGGTTTCATGGAGGCGAGCGATGCGACAGGATGGCTCTGCAGATGGCAGCTGGTGGCTAGGGGTCACTTACGGGCACCAACTTCCAGTACCACTTGGAGGGAGACTGCCCGGGAAGCAGGGAGGAAGCAGGAGAGGAGGGTCAGCAGAGCAGGCGCACGCGTGCACGCCCGACGCGTGCTCACACGGCACAGGCACGGTGGCCCCGGGGCAGTGACCTCGGAGGATGACCCCCAAGGGTCCAGTCCCCTCCACAGTAGGGGCCTTCCCAGGAGCAGAGGACGCTGGGATTGTGGGAGGAGCTGGGTTCTGGAAGCAGGAAGTCCACTCGGGCTGAGGAGGGCTCCATCGGGCGGCCCACACACCCACTGGGGCACGGGCAGGAGACCTGGTGCCCGAGAGCCCGACAAGTGGGCGCGCACACAGCCCGTGCCGCCGCCCGCTGGCCAGTGTGTGGTGCCCGGGGAGGCAAGAGCAGGACGGGGAAGAGACGCCAAGGCAAGACTGCACCACGGTCAGGGTGTGCCCGGCGTGCGTGCGTGCGTGGACTGCGCACTCAGTCACGCACGGGCTTGCAAGTGAGAACGCAGTGCAGGGGACAGAGAAAGGCTGACGGGGGAGGTGCCAGCCCCCACAGCTCCCAGAGCCCCCGCCAGCTGCGGCACACGGAGGGACGGGGGTGCCTCTCCCAGGCGACTCCCCACTCTGCCCAGCAGGCCCGGGGCGGGGGCGGGGACAGGCTGCCAGGCGCCCGTGTGATGAGTGACACAGAGAAGAGCCAGTGGCGGGGCTGGCAGGGGTACACGTGGGAGACCAGCGACTGAGGGAGCTCGACGCCCTTTACCTTCTGATGAGCCGGGCTCTCCAGTGACTGCTGTTTCAGCTTAGCGTCCTTCTCCGCGATTTCCCTCATTTTAAGGTTCACCTAAACAGAAGGAAGCGAATTAAGAAGGCACCCTGACCTTTTCCGCACCGGCACCCTGACCTCAGCTCCAGGCCCCAGGGCCCCTCCCTCACCTAAGTGGCTCCCGGACGCACGGGTCGCTCAGACCACACAGACACGGAGATGCGGGGCCTCCGGGAAGCCTCACGCACGGCCCAGGGTGCCACGTGCGCACGGCCTGCGACGTCTCCTCCGGAGCCTGCCCGGGAAGAAGCCCGGCACCCTCACACGCAGACCTTCACCAGCACAGCCTGTCCCGGCTCTGGGGCGGGCAGTCTGCGGCGCAGGGCCAAGCTGCCACTCGGGGCGCCTGCGTCAGGCCCCACCCCCGGGGCAGATCCAGCTTCCTGCTAACGGCCTGGGAGCAGCTGACGGTCAAAGCGTTTGGGTCCCTGCAGCCACGCGGGAGACCTGGACACAGCTCCTGGCTTCAGGCCGTCCAGCCCTGGCCGGGCGAGCCCTGGGGGGTGAACCAGCAGACGGAGATCTCTCTCTGTCTCTCCCTCTCTAGCCCTCTGCCTTGCAAAGAAGTCAATAAGACAATACATCTCAGAAATTCAGGAAAAAACAGCCAATTAGATCAATTTTTTCCACTTACCACTTGTTGAAGTCTTTACTTAGTGGAGCGTAAATTAAACTTGTGATTATAAAGTAAACTCAAAGTCTGTCCTCGTAAAAATGCAAAGAACAAACAGGAAGGAAGGAGAGGGAAGGCGGCGCGTGGGCATCGCCAGCGTCTCCGTCTGCACAGAGCAGGCGAGTCCGCTCACCTTACACAAAAAAGCAGCCTCATCCAAGGAGACACAAGGATCCCCTGGAGACTGAGGGTGCCGGCACCTCCTGACACCGACATGGCCTTGACCAGAAATTCCCCTTCCTCTGGCCTTCAACAGCCTCAAAACCACCCACGCAGGTGAAGCCGCCGCCTGTAGCGCCAGCATCCCGAGTGGGCACCGGTTCAAGTCCCGGCTGCTCCTCTTCCAGTCCAGCACTCTGCTGTGGCCTGGGAAAGCAGAGGACGATGGCCCAAGTCCTTGGGCCCTGCACCCGCATGGGAGACCCGGAAGAAGCTCCTGGCTCCTGGCTTCAGCCTGGCCCAGCCCTGGCTGTCACGGGTATTTGGGGAGTGAACCAGCGGATGGAAGACCTCTCCCTTGCTCTCTCTCTCCACAACTCTGCCTTTCAAAAAAAAAGAAAAAAGTATATCCCCTTTAAAATGCACATTTGAAATTTTGATGAAAAAGACATTTTAAAGGAAAATGTAGGTTATCAAAATAAAATCAAGAACCCCAAATAATATCTGCCTGCATCCCTGGTAAAGCCACATAAAAATGAAAACTTAAAAGCTGGAAACCAGGGCTGGCATTGTGGCACAGTGGGTTAACCCACTGCCTTCTGCACCGGCATCCCATATGGGTGCTGGTTCGAGTCCCGGCTGCTCCACTTCCCATCCAGCTCTCTGCTGTGGCCTGGGAAAGCAGCAGAAGACAGCACAGTGCTCGGGCCCCTGCACCCGCGTGGGAGACCCAGATGGAGCTCCTGGCTCCTGGCTCCAGCCTGGCCCGACCCTGCCCACTGCAGCCATCTGGGGAGTGAACCAGCGGATGGAAGCCCCCTCTGCCTCTGCTCGCCCTCTCTGTGACTTTGCCTTTCAAATAAATAAATCTTAAAGGGGGGGTGCCCCCGGTCCTCAGCACAGAGGCCGAGGCCGGCGCTGCCCTTGAAGGAACAAAGCCGGGTGACGCCGTCAGCCAGGCCCCCGGGATGCAGCAGCGGCAGCAGGAGATGGAGCCACACCCCCTCGAGAAAACCCTGCCGGCCTGGGCTCCAGCCCCAGCTGCCAGACCTCCGGGAAGCAGAGAAGCCAGAGCCCAGGGAGCCCTGAACCAGGACGGCCGGCAGAGGGCGCCCGACACTGCCCCGCAGAGGAACAGGCGCAGGCTCAGGTGCTCACCGAGCTGAACAAAAGCCCCATTTCGCGCAGGAAGCTCCTTGAAAGCTGCACCAGCTTTGGGGCTGGCGTTGTGGCACTGCCGGTTCAGTCGCCAGCTGTGCAGCCAGCGTCCCAGACGGGCGCCAGTCTATGCCTGGCTGCTCCACTTCCCATCCGGCTCCCTGACGCACCTGGGAAAGTGGCACAAGATGGCCCAAGAGCCTGGACCTCTGCCCCCGTGTGGGGACCCAGCTGGAGCTCCTGGCTGCTGGGTTTGGCCCAGCCCAGCCCGGACGGTGGCAGCCATGCAGGGAGTGAACCAGCGAGTGAAGATCTCTCTCTGTTTTTCCCTCTGTAACTCTGGCCTTCAAACAAACCTTTAAAGAGAACACTGCCAAGAATGTTTTTTCATTTTTTGGGTTTTTTTTTTTTTTACAGGCAGAATGGACAGTGAGAGAGAGAAACAGAGAGAAAGGTCTTCCTTTGCCGTTGGTTCACCCTCCAATGGCCGCCGCGGCCGGCGCACTGCGCTGATCTGAAGGCAGGAGCCAGGTGCTTCTCCTGGTCTCCCATGGGGTGCAGGGCCCAAGCACTTGGGCCATCCTCCACTGCCCTCCCCGGGCCACAGCAGAGAGCTGGCCTGGAAGAGGGGCAACCGGGACAGAATCCGGCACCCCGATCGGGACTAGAACCCGGCGTGCCGGCACCACAGGCAGAGGATTAGCCTAGTGAGCCGCGGCGCCAGCAACCACAAGTTGTTTAAAGTCACAAGTGTTCAGGAGCACCCCCTCCTGTGAGGGAGGCAGCGGGCCAAGCGCAGCGCTGCCTCCAGGACAAGCAGGCGCGGCTGCGGAGCCTCAACAGGACCTGGACGCACCACGGCCCCGCCCAAGCCATGGAGGCAGGTGTGGGTCTGCTCGCCGCTACGGAACTACTTGGGACACCCACATCCCATATGGGGTACCTGGGTTCAAGTTACCCCCTGCGAGAGGCCTGGACCGAGCCCCGGCGCCCCAACCTGGGAGGTCACCCCCTGCGAGAGGCCTGGACCGAGCCCCGGCGCCCCAACCTGGGAGGTCACCCCCTGCGAGAGGCCTGGACCGAGCCCCGGCGCCCCAACCTGGGAGGTCACCCCCTGCGAGAGGCCTGGACCGAGCCCCGGCGCCCCAACCTGGGAGGTCACCCCCTGCGAGTGGCCTGGACCAAGCCCTGGGCGCCCCACCTAGGCCTGACGCAGCCTGGCTGTCGCAGCCATTGTGAACCAACAGACGGAAGACCGATCAATCTCTCTCTCTGCCTTTCAAATAAATACAAATAAATACTCAACAAATAACTTAACCAACATCCGTAACTTGGCAGTGAAGAACTGAATTTTCTAGTGTTTGTTTTCCAAGATCAGGCAAACTCTTCCACCACTCCACCCAGCACTGCATGGAGGCCTGCCGGTGCAGTGGGGGCATCTTTCATGTCAAGTAGTCATGAGCACAGACGGGAACCAAGTGCAGCGGTGCCGTGCACGGGGAGCTAGAGCTGCACGCAGAGCGCCCCGTGGACTTCTGAGACCAGCGGGCAAGCACGCCCTGGTTCACTCCAAACGCCTGCAAGAGCCGAACCCGGGCTCGCTGGAGCCAGGAGCCGGGAACTGCAGGCAGCTCTCCCGCGCGGTGGGGCAGCACCGACCGCTCGAGCCACCGCTGCTGCCTTCTGGGTCTGCGTGACGAGCAGGCGGAGGGGCCCGGCCGTGGCGCAGCGGGGAAAGGCGCCGCCTGCAGTGCCGGCATCCCAGATGGCGCCGGTTCAAGACTCAGCCGCTCCACTTCCGATCCAGCTCTGCTGTGGCCTGGGAGAGCAGAGGACCATGGCCCAAGTGCCTGGGCCCTGCATCCGCATGGGAGACCAGAGGAAGCTCCTGGCTCCTGGCTTTGGATCGGCGCAGCTCCAGCCGTGCGGCCGTCTGGGGAGTGAACCAGTGGATGGAAGCCCCCCTTTCTCTCTCTCTCTCTCTCTGTGTAACTTTGACTTCCAAGTAAAATAAATAAATCTATAAACAAAAAAAAAAATAGGAAGCTGGAATCGGGAGTCGGAGCTGGGCACCAAACCCAGGAATTCCAACATCTGCCCCTGAAAACAGGGCTTTCTCTACGCCACTAGAACTGAGACACATGCTTGATGAGGCCACAAAACGTAAGTCAACACACGACCTGCTCACTGCAATGCCAAGGCTGCGACAACTGGAGATGAGATCGGGAGGATGCCACTCAACAGAACCAAAGCCGTGAGAGGCCAGGGATGAATGCGATTACACACGAAGGGCTGGGACGCTGGGAGGACCACGCGCGTGTGACGCGCGCCCGACGGCCAGCTCACCTGCGTCCCCACGCAGGGCCTGGCCCAGCTCCTGACCCGGCCTCCTGTCGAGGCAGCTGCGCCCCTGCCGCCCGTGGGAGACCTGCTTCCAGCCCCAGCTGCAGCTCCGGCCAGGCGCAGCCCTGGGCAGGGCGCCAGCAGGCGGGGGCTTTGTCAGCTCCGTCTGCCGGCCTCTCCCATTTCTGAACGACGCAGCACGGACAGGCACAAAGCACACGCTGGGCACGGAGGATCGCGCTTGCTGATTCCCAGTTCTGCCCGAGCCGACCCACTGCATTCCCGGGGGAACCCTGGAAGTGCTGCTTTACAGAGGCTAAGTGCGGAGAGGACCTAGAGAGGCCAGAATTGTGATTTTAAAGATTTATTTATTTGAAAGGCAGTTACAGAAAGAGGTAGAGCCAGGGGGCCGGCGCTGTGGCGTAGCGGGGAAAGCCGCTGCCTGCTGTGCCAGCATCCCCCATGGGTGCCGATTCGAGTCCCGGCTGCTCCTCCTCCGATCCAGCTCTCCGCTGTGGCCTGGGAAGGCGGTGGAGGATGCCCAAGTGCTTGGGCCCCTGCACCCACGTGGGAGACCCGAAAGAAGCTCCTGGCTCCTGGCTTCAGATTGGCTCTGCCCCAGCCATTGTGGCCAACTGGGGAGTGAAACCAGCAGGTGGAAGACCTCTCTCTCTGCCTCTCCTTC